TCTCTAACCATATTTGCCTTTTTCGACTAGATTCCGATTGGAACGGTTTAGTTTCATGAAATGATTTCAAATTGCTAAGCCTGAAAAATGTGGTTTGTTTTTTATAGAGTGGCATGTAAGAAGAGTGGAGGGATAAGATTCACGATCAACGGTCACCGTTACTTCAACTTGGTTCTGATCACGAACGTAGCCGGAGCCGGAGACATCGTGAGGACGAGCGTGAAAGGATCAAAGACTGGTTGGATGAGTTTAACTAGGAACTGGGGACAAAACTGGCAGTCTAATGATGTTCTCGTTGGTCAGTCACTTTCGTTCCGTGTCACAACCAGTGACCGTAGAAGTTCTACTTCATGGAACATCGTACCTTCGAACTGGCAGTTTGGACAAACCTTTGTCGGGAAAAATTTCAAGGTCTAAAGTTGAATTTGGAGGAAAATCGAAACGTTATATATAAAGTGGTAGGAGACAAAAGAAGCTCCATTTATCAAATTGTAAACTATATACTATATTTTGAAGCCGAAGGTGGCTGTTGAAAAAAAGTTGTAAACAGCCCGCAGCTCTTAAGTTACATAAAGCTTTGCTTGTAATGTCGAATTTCACTATATAAATATACCACTTAATTACGGAATCACTTGGTACTTACTAAACTTCTTCTGTTTTTTTTCGTTCGTTTCTTTTGGTTTTAGTATGTAAAATCCGACTACCAATAATAATCGGATATTAAGAAATTACTTTTCAACTAAAAAATATTATTTAATATATCTAATAAAAATAATTTGACCAATCACACAAAAGACTGCAAAATACTAATGGTCACACAATATTCAATAAAGTTAAAAGTAACTAGTATTGTCAAAACAACTTACATTTTGAAACAAAAATAAAACTCTAAAACAACTTATATATTAAAACGGAGGGAGTATTCTTTAACATGACTTCAATGATCTCATAGTTGTTACATGAAAACGACTAGAGTACAAAAGTTTTAACATTGAGTATCTTATGACATTGACTATAGTATATTTTGAGTGTTACTTAAAAAAAAAAAAAACTATGTTTTTGCAATTGACATTGATAGTTCTTCTCAAAGTAGACATTTACAAAACGATGATGCTATCACAAACTATTACATAACATACTAGTGGTTTTGATTTAACTATTGTATGCATTAATCTTGTGTAAGTTTTCTCCCTTTTGCAAGATTTTGTTGTCTTTTGGGCAAGATCAGGCATGAATACACCAAAGCATGTTGGACTAATTCGTTTAAACCAGATTAGAGTAAAACAAAATATTCCATATGGATTGATACTAAATTAAAATTTGTGCCCTTTAGCTGACTAAGAATCAAATCTAAATATCTTAAAAAGCAATTCATGGGATCATGATATTTTTGCTTAGGTTTTTAAAGCCTTTTTTTTAGCAGAACCAATGTTACAACACCGAATCCAACAACAACAATGAAATAAAAAAATATAAATGAAAAAGGGCTCATATCAAGTGTACAAATTGGTTGGACCGTCATCGAGGGTAAGGGATGATAGAAAACGAACCCATAATCAAAAAAGGGAAAAATCATATGTAAATTTCTCCTTCGATTTCGATTTGGTTTTTTTTTTTTCCCTCTCAATCCCACAAGTGTTTTGTTCACACTCCCCACTCAAATTCCTTTCTCATTATAATCATCGCCCAAAAAATTTGAAAAAAAATTCCAATAGATTCATATTAAAATTACAGAAGAAAACCAGAGAAAATTAATCAGAACAACAATGAAGAAAACGGCGAATTATCAGCCACACACATGCATATTATATATATGGGTAAATGGGTTTAGGGTTTTATTATTAGCCCATTCTTAATGGGCTTGATTCGGGTTAACCAAACCGGTTTAGAATCTCCGGTTTATACTCCAATCCTGGTTATGGACAAGGCTATTCCATCACCCGAACATAAGCATCTTCTCTTTTCTAGTTTGCTGAATTTCGGAATCGGAGGTGGATTTGATCGGAGAAACTTCAAATGTTTAATCAGTTTGGTTCGACGGCGGAGACTCTGAGCAAAGCTTCAGCTGTGATGCTTCGGATCGGCACTGATGCTCATTTGTATGATGATCCGGAAGATGTCAACATTGTTCCACTTCTCGATAGCAAGTTCGAATCAGAGAAATGTGAAGCTCTCAAGCGTCTACTTGCTCTTATCGCTCAGGGATTTGATGTCTCCAATTTCTTCCCTCAGGTGTTTTTTTTTTGCTTGATCCATTTGGTTATATTGTATTCCATCTCGGTTGAAATCGTAGAAATTTTGATTTAAGTGTTGGATCATATGTAGTGAATGATCTTGCTCTGCTTAGATTTTGAAAAAGATTTTGGACGAATTTTGTTTGTAGGTGGTGAAGAATGTGGCTTCACAGTCATCGGAAGTGAAGAAGCTGGTTTACTTGTATTTGCTACATTATGCTGAAAAGTACGTGAATGCGAAATCGTCTTAATGTCTGATTCTTCATTCTTTTTGCGTAGACTTCTCCAAAATTGGTGATATGTTTTTTTCAAAATATATTAGTTTGTGCGTACATGTGAATGTATTTACATTATTAGGTTGTGTTTGTAGGCGTCCAAATGAAGCGTTGCTATCGATCAACTACTTTCAGAAGGATTTGGGGGATCCAAATCCGTTGGTTAGGGCTTGGGCGCTTCGTACAATGGCGGGGATTCGTTTACATGTAATTGCACCTCTTGCACTTGCAGCTGTGAGTAAGTGTGTGAGGGATCCAGCGGTTTATGTCCGTAAATGTGCTGCAAATGCTCTTCCAAAGTTGCATGATTTGCGGCTGGAAGAACATGCGCCTGCAATTGAAGAGGTTTGTCTTGTCACTTTCTTTAAGTTGTTATATAACTCATGTGTTCCGTTGGTAGTTGGAATTTTTTTTTTCTCTTTCACTACTGTCATGTATAGGGCACTAGGATTTGAATATCTTGTTAAATTTCTGTATTGCATTGTCTAGTGTTTGAAGATTAGTGTTGGTTCTATGTTTTTGGTATCCTTGAGTTTTGGAATTTTGATTGTTCACTGAATATGATTGGTCTTGTTGCAGCTAGTGGGGATATTGTTGAATGACCATTCTCCAGGAGTAGTTGGAGCAGCGGCAGCGGCATTTACCTCCATCTGTCCAAATAACTTCAAGCTGATCAGAAAGAACTTTAAGAAGTTGTGCCAGATTCTTCCTGACGTAGAAGAGTGGGGTCAGATTTTACTCATAGGTACTCTTTTGCGCTACGTTGTTGCAAGGCATGGACTTGTAAGGGAATCTTTGATGTTGTCCATACATGGTTTGGATAATAATGGCTTCTATGAGAAGGATGGTCCAGTCAGAGATATTACATTTGATAAAGGAGATGGTGATAATAGTGATTCATTTGACGCTAATCTGGTCAGCCTTGTATCTAGATCTTACATTGAAGGTCCAGATGAGTACCTATCACGATCTAGTTTCCCCGAAATAGAGTCATCTGCATTCGATAGCAAAGAGACCACTTCTATTGCATATAATGAAGATGTTAAAATCCTGCTTCAGTGTACATCCCCATTGCTATGGAGTAACAACAGTGCAGTTGTTCTAGCAGCAGCTGGCGTTCAGTGGATAATGGCGCCTCTGGAAGATGTAAAAAAAATTGTTAAACCGCTCCTGTTTTTGCTTAGGTCATCCAGTGCGTCCAAATATGTGGTAATATTTTTTTATATTCCCGCCAATGTTTTCCGTCCATTCAACATGCTACACACGTCTGTGTAGTCTTGATAAAATCTGCTCTCTGAGCATTGTTTATTCATATTTGGTGGCAGGTCCTCTGCAATATCCTAGTATTTGCCAAAGCAGTCCCTTCTCTCTTTACTCCACACTTCGAAAATTTCTTTATTTGTTCCTCGGATGCATATCAAGTTAAAGCACACAAGCTGGAGATGCTTTCCCTCATTGCTACCACTTCATCTATCGCTTCTATTTTGAGAGAGTTTGAGGTACTACATTATCTCTAATCGATTATAGAACTTGTTTGCTTCATTCTGGAAAGTTTGCGTGATCATTTGGCTTTCCAGTCTAATAATTAAGCACTTTTTAAAATGTTGTTAAATAGGCATCATAATCTGGGTCCCTATACAGTAGCTTCCTAGTCAAAATGTGTGCATGACTGAATTTTGTTTAACCATGAGCTTTTTCCAGGATTATATCAAAGATCCAGACAGGAGATTTGCAGCCGATACAGTTGCAGCAATTGGTTTGTGCGCAAAAAGACTGCCGTCAATTCCAACTACATGTCTTGATGGATTGTTAGCACTAGTTAGACAAGGTCAGTTATGCTTCATTTCAGTTGCATTGATTAGTTAATTTATTCAGTTATTTGGCAATTCAGTTGAAGTAGCTTGCACAATGTTGCAGAATCTTTTGCTGGCGATCTCAAGTCAGTGGATGGAGAAGCTGGAGTGTTGGTGCAAGCGGTTATGTCGATTCAGACTATCATTGATCGCGATCCCCTTAGTCATGAAAAAGTATACACATCTCATTTACTCTGTATCTTACCATTTTCAGAATACATGCTTAGAACCTGTTGCAATCATCTCGAATTTGCTGTTTACAATATTTTAAATGATCTATTGATTTCTTTCTATTTTTGTTTTGCTTGTTTGAAGGTGATAATTCAGCTGTTTCGTAGTCTTGATTCAATCAAGGTAGCTCCTGCTCGTGCAACTATTATATGGATGGTAGGGGTCTACTGCTCTTTGGGTCATATCATTCCAAGGATGCTGACCACAATAACCAAGTATCTTGCATGGAGCTTTAAATCAGAGGCATCAGAGACAAAACTACAGATTCTTAATACTACTGCTAAGGTATAGCTTGGAGCGTTGCCTCAAAAGTTCTTATTGTGAAGTCAATTATTTGTATGAAATCATTTAGTATTACCAGTATTATATCTCTTCAATAACCCCTTTGAAAGAAAAGCTATTTGATTCAGTGAAAAAGGACATCTACATTTGTGCTATTTGAACAATTTTGTCAATTCTCTGAAAAACCAGCTCCATTTCTGAACTAACAATATAAGATCTTTCAATAACTATTTCGTGATGGCTCTTCTGTTCTGTGAAATCTTTTAGGTATACGACGCTATCTTTACTACTTGTGCTGGTGTGTACTTTTACTTGGCATGTCTCGCTACAGTGCTCAGGATATTGATCAAGTAATTTTCAAATTACCTTTACAATTGCAGGTTCTAGCAAGTGCAGAGGTTGAGGACTTTCAGATGTTAAAAAGGATTGTGGTTTATGTGCTTGAATTGGGCGAATGTGACTTGAGCTATGATGTTCGTGATCGAACTCGGTTCCTCAAGAAAGTTCTGTCATGCAAATTAGCTTGTCATGATCCAGCGGAAGACAGTGTTACATCAGAAGAAAATATTGCTGCGCATGTTGTGGAACATGTCTTCGGAAGAAAACTGAAACCTTCTTCACCTTTAGCAATGCACAATCGTTTTTATCTTCCTGGTTCTTTGTCCCAGATAGTTCTTCATGCAGCCCCTGGATATGAACCTCTTCCAAAGCCCTGTAGTTATGTGTTTGAAGAACATGACCAGCTTTCAGATTCTGATAGACAAAGAGAGGCCACAGCTGATTTGAATGGTTCTCAGGAATCTTCTGAAACAGTGGATGAGGATGGCTCTTCTGAATATGATTCTGAATCATATAGTGGTTCAGATTTCAGCAGTGATGGTGATGAAAGAACGATATCCAATGATGCAGCTGATCCTTTAATTCAAATTTCAGAGATTGATGTGTCCACCGACCAGGAAGAACTAAGGTCAAAAAGGGCCCTGGATTTGTGGTTAGACGACCAGCCTAGCACATCAAATCAAACTTCATCTGCATTAGATAGGAATCAGAGCTCTTATGCGAAGATATCCATTGGTGATATAGGAAGCCGAGTGAAGCCTAAAAGCTATGCTCTCTTAGACCCTGGAAATGGCAACGGCTTGAAGGTCGACTATACCTTTTTATCCGAAGTCTCCACTGTATCTCCGTTGCATGTTTGTGTAGAAGTTCTGTTTGAGAACATTTCTACGGAACCTATCCTTGAGGTGAATTTGGAGGATGAAGAAGCAATGAAAGAATCGGACTCTGCAGAACAGACTTTGGTAGGAAAAGCAAAGTGAGTTTTATTCCTTTATGCCCAATTGATTTACAAAACCTTCTTTTTTGCCTAATCCATCTATCGCTTATGCCTAACTACATTTATTATTACACAAGTTCTCATCCTGAATCGTGCAATGAATTAGTTTCGGTAGAAATCCATTATCTATAATTTCTCAGATTATCACATTTCCCTTTTTCGAAAACCTTGCAGTGCATCTTTCAACAATGTGCCAACACTAATCCCAATGGAGGAAATCAGCTGCCTTGAACCACGTCAAAGCGCAAAGAGGCTTATCCAGGTTCGGTTTCATCACCACCTGCTTCCCACGAGGTTAACCTTGCATTACAATGGAAAGAAGGTTCCTGTCAAGTTACGACCTGATCTTGGATATCTTGTGAAACCATTTTCAATGAGCATCGAGGAATTCTTAGCCACGGAATCTCGGTTACCTGGAATGTTTGAGTATAGTCGAAGGTTAGCTGCTTTCTCTACTTGTTGATGTCATTATAAGAACTTAGAAGTTGAAAACTGTAACAACTTTACCATTTTCATTTCGCAAACTTATTTTCCCTAACCATGTTTCTCTTCACTTTTGGCAGGTGTACTTTTACTGATCATGTTAAAGATTCAAGAAAGGAGAATGGGAAAGACAGATTTCTTAGCATCTGCGAGAGTATAACACTAAAGGTGCTTAGCAACTCAAATCTATACCTTGTATCTGTCGATTTACCAGTTGCAAACACACTCGAAGATGCAACTGGTCTACGGTTAAGATTCAGCAGCAAAATCTTGAGCAGTGAAATCCCTCTTTTGATTACCATCACAGTCGAAGGTAAATGCACCGAAGTTCTGAAATTAACAGTCAAGATCAATTGCGAAGAAACGGTTTTCGGTTTAAACCTATTGAACAGGATTGCTAATTTCATGGTTGAGCCAGTTGATCAGCAAAATTGAGGATTTTCTTATTATATTGCCACTTTGTGAATGTTTATGCTACCAAACTTTTTTTTATAACACTATTTTTTTTTTTCATACATTTCTGTAAAATTAAATTATAAATACAATGAGATCTTAACGCAAACTCTTACAAAGTTTGAGCTTCCACACAAATCATTATACATTTTACTTTCAAATAATTTTTGAAACTCATGAATAGCTTAATGATGTTAAACACTAAAGGTAAACACAATAAATTTTAAAGAAGCCAAACTAATCAAATTGGCTATGCTTCCATCCACCAAAGTGTTCTCCATCCATTCCTCTGTCTTGCTGAAAATTCCCAATAACAAACAAAATAAAGAGTTTCAATGAGATGATGGTAAATAAAAATGGTACAAAATGAAAAAATAAAGGAAGTGAAAGAAAATTTACAATAAGAGAGTAAGAAACTCCAAGGAGAATCTCGCCGACAAAAGAGCGATCGGAGTCAACAACGTTGTACTTGGTCGGCCTTAGCTCCGCCATTCCTTTCTCCACTCCCGTTTCCAATAGCTCTTTCACATACACCCTATTTATTCATTAATCAAACCCATATTTTAGTTATACACATAAATGTTATTTTCAAAAAAAGATATGGTAAATGTTTCTTTTAAACCGAGAGATATAGTCTATTGGTTTGTATTAGTGTTATCGTTTATCTTAACTCGAATTCACAATTCGGGAATATGTGAGTAGTGTAAACGATAGACAAAAATATATATATATAACACTTACGTGGCTTCGCCGATGAAATCGTCGGTGGAGAAAGTATCATGATCCATGACTTTGACGGTGAGCTTGTAATCGGTGCCGGAGCCGGGAAACTCTGCTCTCCATGTCAGTTTATCATTCCATGTCGGATTTCTACCTCCCTCTTTTTTACCATTTCAAACAACACAAATTTCATTCACATCTTTAGTAATTTATTCTCAACTTTTTATAATAGAATTATGAAGGTCTATGTTATATTTTATACTATAGTTTTCAAACAACACAAATTATAAAGGAAATTAAAATATTTATGCTATTTAGTAAACAGCAATTTGTTTTGTGAGATATATAATTTAATTAATTTAGTAAGACGTTTGGTGTATTGATGATTAGTTAAGAATGAGGTTGGCTACACAATCTAAATGAGATTTACTACTTTCAGAAGATTTAAACCACACAAGAAAAGAAAACTTACAAGCTACCACAAAATGTCTCAAATATAATTGGTGTAATGACAAATAGCGAAATAAAACAATTAAAATAAACTAATTTGTGGTGCATAATCACGACCACGATATGTTGTGTAACTAACTTTGCAAATTGCAACCATGGTTTTTAGGACTTAGTAATCTAAAGGTACAATATTGTATAATGGTATTTGACTTGTTTAGATAATTATTTCTAATTAATCAACTAGTACCATCACCTTCTATTCTTAACTACACGACCATAAGTTCACTAGCAAGTGGGAGTTTAAATTTAATTATTCCAAGTGACATTTTTTTTTTTTCTCCCAAGAACAAATATAAGAATTTTTTAGTTAAATATTTCCTGAAAAGTCCTCGTAAATTAGGAAAGAAAAAAAAAATGGAGAGAACTAGTCTCTCGCATGAAACGAAGAAGTCAAACT